GAGTGAGGCTGCTGTGGGATGCAGGCTGCAAGCCTGTTCAAGCGGTCAGGTGAGGTCTGAGTCCCGCTCGCAGCCAGCGGGTCCGAGGCCTCTGGGACAGACAGATTTGCTACTCCTCCAGGAATGCCAGCAATTCTGCTGTGCCTGCTTTATGTTTACTGTAGTTGCAGAGAATGTATGCCTGACTCCTTTTCATCTAGTCTTTTTGGTGTCACTTTTTTTTCATTCCTGTGGCTTTTCTCTCCTGAAACCTTTCATTTGCATCTCACAGCACCCCCTCCCGATCTGTGTGTGTGTGTGTGTGTGTGTGTGTGTGTGTGTGTGTGAAAATATACATAACAAAAATTTACTGTTTTAACCATTTTTAAGTGTACAGTTTAGGGGCATTAAACCATGCATCTCCAGAACTTTTTTATTTTCCTAGACTGAAATGTTGTGCCCCGTAAGCAATAACTACCCATTCCTCCCTTCCCCAGTCTCTGCCACGCACCCTTCTGCTTTCTGTCTCTATGAATTTAACTCTTCCGGGTACCTCCTATAAGTCAAGTCATACAGTATTTCTCTTTATTTCTGGAGTATTGCACTTAGCATAATGTCTTCAAGGTTTTATCCAATTTATAGTGTGTATCAGAATTCCATTCCTTTTTTAAGGCTGAATAATATTTTATTGAGTGTCTATACCAGTGATGGTGAACCTTTTGAGCTCGGCGTGTCAGCATTTTGAAAAACCCTAACTTAACTCTGGTGCCGTGTCACATATAGAAATTTTTTGATATTGGCAATGATAGTAAAACAAAGATGTATATTTTTGATATTTATTTTATATATTAAAATGTCATTTAACAAAGAAAAATCAACCAAAAAAATGAGTTCGTGTGTCACCTCTGACACGCGTGTCATAGGTTCGCCATCACTGGTCTATCCCATTTGTCCATGAATGAACTTATAGGTTATTTCCACCTCTTGGCTAGTATGACTTACTAGAGGCTCGGTGCACAACATCCCCCTCAGAGGATGTCCAACTGACAGCCACAGTGGGACATCCTTAGCGCTGCCACGGAGGCAGGCCACTGCACTCACCAGCTGTCAGCCCTGCTTGTGGCTGAATGGCACTCTCCCTGTGGGAGCACACTGACCACCAGGGGGCAGCTCCTGCATTGAGCGTCTGCCCCCTGGTGGTCAGTGCGCATCATAGCCACCAGTTGTTCCACCATTTGGTCAATTTACCTATTACCCTTTTATTATATAGGATGCTGCTATGGAATTGGTATGTAAATATATTTTGCCCTAATTCTTTTTTTAAATATTTTTTATTGATTTCAGAGAGGAAGGGTGAGGGAGAGAGAGACAGAAACATCAATGATGAGAGAGAATCATTGATCGGCTGCCTCCTGCATGCTCCCCACTGGGGATTGAGCCCGCAACCCAGGCATGTGCCCTTGACCAGAAGCGAACCTGAGACCCCTCAGTCCACAGGCCAATGCTCTATCCACTGAGCCAAACCCGCTAGGGCACCCTAAGTCTTTTTAAATAAAATTTGTAACTGTCTTTATGGGGTACAGGAACTAAGTTTAGAACTGAGAGATAGAAACCAAAGGGGAAAAAAAGAAGAAACCAAAGGATCTTGAATTAACATTAAGCCCCTTGGAAGTAGTACCTGTATCTTCTTCTATCCTGACAATTACTTGCACCCTATGGGATTTGACAAAGATTAAAGATCAATAACATATTAAGAGTGGTTCCTAAGGAAAAAAAAAAAAAAGAGTGGTTCCTTTTGCATTCTTTTTTTTCCCTTTACCTCAAAGACCACAAAGCTAGCTTTCAGCTGCTAAAACCATCTCTCTCACTGATAGCTGACTATAACCATACACTAAGGATTATCTTGGAGAAGCAGTAGACTTAACTCTTTTTAAAAATATATATTTTTATTGATTTCAGAGAGGAAGGGAGGGAGAAAGAGATAGAAGCATCAATGATGAGAGAGAATCATTGATTGGCTGCCTCCAGCACACCCCCCACTGGGGATCGAGCCCACAACCCAGGCCTGTGCCCTGACAAGGAATGGAACCATGACCTCCTGGTTCATAAGTCGACGCCCAACCACTGAGCCATGCTGGCCAGGCTAGACTTAACTCTTGAAACACCCCCAGATCCTCAGTAAACAACAGCAGAAGTTTTTTGTTATTATTTTGTTTTTATTATGACCCTTATGTGGCTGGAAACTAGCAGAGGATATTGCCAATCAGGGGACCATTATTGGGACAATTCATCTTTATATTATTTACATAAATATGTTACACTTTGTGAGTGTTTGGATTTGAATCGTGAATGTAAAATCATTTCTGCACACACCATTTTTAATGACCAAGGGAATAAATGCTAGTAAATTTCAATGTTTACTTTTAAGAATGGGTCATCGTATTTATATATAATTTCACCTTTGAGTGATTTTGCTTGTTTGTTGAGATAGACTTTCTAGATACAGGAGTGCTAAATTGTCTTTGTATCTTTAACTGAGAAGAGCAACAGCAGTAATTTTTTAATCAGTTATTTCAGGTAATAACCTTTTAACCATTTAATTTTGGATATGAAACAATAATCTAGCTATACCTAAATATATAGCATTTATAGATGCAAAATTATCCCCCATTAAACTCTCAGTGAGTTGCAAATTACTTCATCTGTAGGTATTTTATCTCCTCTCTGTACAATATGGGTTTACCAAGTGGCCCATGAAGTTGTCATGGAAGACAAACAGATTACTCTGGGACATGTTATGATCCTACTGGGACACTGGAATTGTTGCTAACTTAATTACTGAGTTCTTGTGGCCTCAGTAAATTTATGTACCTGTTTAATAACTTCTTAAAAGCCTCTTATTCCCTCTTTTCTGGAAAATAAAGTCAAGATCATTGTCTGGGAAGTATATTAAACAAAATACTTAAATTTAATAGATGTGCCCCTAACCTAACCTGTTCATAGTGTTATTTTTTTTCCTTCATTTTGAAATACTTTGCAAATGAAAAGGCATAAGGATATAAGGCATTTATTTCAATATTACTGAAATCACACGATTATTAATTATAGATTTAGGTTGAAAATTTTAAAGTGTTATAGGAATGTTTGTTGGATGAGTGTGTTTTACTTAGCTTCTGGTTAGAGTTTCTGAAATCCCATTTTCTAAAAGAAGACAGCGACAGTTCCAGCTATGGCATACTCAAAGATGGGGATGAGAGTGCTTTGTCCCAAGGATCCAGATAAATTATTTATTGTTTTGTGAACTCCTCCGTGGTTAAATGAGAATATCCCTAATACATTTCTCACCTTTTCAGCCGTGCAGAGAGGAAAATAGATTGCTTGGGTAACCTGGTGGTTTGATAGGTGGAAAGTAGCTGGCTCCGCACTCGAGGTTCCAGGGACCTGCGCTTGGCATGAGTGATTAGGCGGTGCTTCTCAGCCCTGGCTGCAGAAAGGCTCTTGGGCATCAGCATTTTAAAAATCTCCCCAGGTGATTCCACGTTAAGGTTGAGAACCACTGGTTTTAGAGAAATTAGAATAGGAAATTGCATTAGGAGAGTATTAAATGGTCTAAGTTAGAAATAATAAAGTTTCCAACTAAGAAATTTTTAGTGAGATCATCAGGGGGTAGAAACAACAAGACTTATGTCCCACGCAAGTAAGAAGAATGAAGCAAAGATACCATCTTCATAAGAGTGATGGTCCTAACCTTGAGGCTGGGGGAGGTTGCCATTGAAGAGAACCAAGGAGAGATCCTTGAGGGATAACCACATCTGTGGATGGAAAAGGTTAAAAACCTGACAAGGGGAGGGGGAGAATCAATTCTCTGTCCTGTCAGGAGCTAAAGCCTGGATTTTCAAGTGGACCACATGAATATCTCAAGATCAATTAAGAATAAATGCAGTGATATGAAATTATAGTAAGCTTTAAAAATATTTTTGAAATATTTTTCTCAAATATATACTTATTGGGTACCTTCAAAGCATCTTTATAAAGATACTTTGAAATCCAAGAAAGACAACCAGGCTTATGAAACAAAACAAGTTCTATCCCTCCAGCCAGCTGATGTTGGGTAAGCCATGTACCCAGTTCTATTTTCCTAATCCAGTAAGTGGGGATGGCAATACATGCCATGCCCACTCCACAGCATTGTTTTCCACATTAAATTAGATAATGAATGTGAAAATATGGTTTAAAATGTGAACCATTATGTAGATAATGGAATATTAACAATAACCTTTTTGCTGCTGATCATAAGCACTTTAGTATTGAGAAGCTTTGGACAATTTGTATTCCTAGAAAGAGATAAAATGATACTAGGAAATCCCAGGTACCCATCTCTTCAGATACTTCACCATCTTACAGAGAAGGCAGGATAAGGAAATGAAAAGCTATAAACACCAGGGTGTAAATTCTATGAGTGCAGCAATCCTGTCACTAGTGTACTCCTAATGTCTAACTCGGTGCTTGAAACCTAGCAGGCTCTCCTAAAATATTTTGTTTAAAAAATGTATGAAATAATATAACACAAGGTAAAAGTCATATAAATAAAATACTGTAGTAGTTTTAGGGGAAGGAATTGCCTGAATCATAGTAATTTACAGACAAATAAATATATGAGGGATTCATGAATAATGGGGTGAAGGAGACTGTCCCCCAAAGCTACTTTACTTAACATGAGCAAAAAGGAAACCATATCAGATGTAAAATCTAGAAATAGCAGCAAGTGAAAGTGATTTCTTAAATCTAGAAGACTCCAAGTTGCTCAAGGCCAAGACTGTGAAACACAGGGGAAACCGTTATGGGTCGGAGTAGAAGCCTTCAGAAAAGGGGTTACCCTCAGGGTGGTCGCTTATTCACTGTCTTGGTTATGACTACACCTCACCCAGGGGCAAGGGACTGCTTATGTTCAGATGTGAAGTGTGTTCTGCTTTCAGTGTGGCGAGTGAAAGGATCCTGACCGTGTCCTCTTCTTTCTGCAGGAGTAGATAATCTCTATGAGAGGGCGCTTCACATCCGCAAACTCCTCCTGACCTTGCCCCGGTCGGTCCTCATAGTGATGCGGTACCTCTTTGCCTTCCTCAATCAGTAAGTACCCTAGTGCCCTGCCAAAATGCCCATCTTAATTCTATTGGCACAGCTCTGAATGCTGCCTTTGTTTCTGGATTCTGTAAAATGTACATTGGGTTTCATTTATCAGCAGTCAAAAGTGATTGAGGATAGACTGAAGGTCCATTTTTCCTCAGCAGATCAAGGTCGTTGTGTGATAGATGAAAGATGCAGAAACTATGGTCATAAATGCAAAAATATACACATAGCACTAAAAAGAACACTGTTCAGTGATGGCATGAATGTTTTTGTCAAAATGGCATAAACCACCTGCTCATTGCAGAAAATTTCAGTGATTTTTTTTAATGTGGTAGTCAGGGAAGGAGGGGAATTATAGATGAGTCTTACACACAGATCCAAAAAGGAATTTCTGCAAATTCAATATAATGAGACCTTGTGAAGCAGAAGCTATTTCTAAAACCTCTTTTTTAAAATGTAATAGAAGTCTCAAAAATCACTGCATTATTTTGAAAGAGACTTTTACTCTTTTAATTTAAGCAACTTGATTTTTAGTGTGTTACTTCCTGCTACCTGGGCTCCATTATAAGAACATCTTCCCCAAGTAGTATGGAAGAATCCTCTTGTTATTCAATGTTTCAGTTGACCAATTAGAAACAAAGAAATCCAGGGGGCGGGTGGCGAGGGGGGGCAGGGTGACTTGGGGAATTGCCTTCTCATTCTGGCACGGGTTCTCCCTTCTTAAAATTGAAAAATTGCCTCTTCTCTGTTTCACTGGAGGTTTTAAGTTCTCAGAAGCCATGGGGGTTTTTTACAACCCTGTTGACTATTTCTGAAATCATACCCATTCAGGTTGAGCCTAGAAACCGAGTATCACACAATAGGGAAATACTGGCAGGGAACCATACAGAATGGAACTAAAACAGCCACCAGTGACAATAGGAACCCATTTGTACAGGAGTCACCACTAGAAATAAGCAGTATCTAGTGATTCTCAACTTCCCTAATGCCGCGACCCTTTAATACATTTCCTCATGTTGTGGTGACCCCCAATTTCATTGTTACAAATTGAGCATAATTAAAGCATAGTGATTAACCACAAAAACAATATGTAATTATATATGTGTTTTCCGATGGTCTTAGCCGACCCCTGTGAAAGGGTCGTTCGACCCCCAAAGGGGTCGCGACCCACAGGTTGAAAACCGCTGATCTAGAAAGATGGGTATAGACTATGTTTAGGTTAAATAGATGCCATAAATTTTTACCTTTAAATAAGCCTACTCAGTCTATCACACCTGAAACTAATATAATATTGTGTGTAAACTGTAACTGAAAATTTTTAAAAATGTTTTTAATATTAGTCACCAGGCAGTTGTAAATCTGAAGGCTTGCGTTTTCACCTTTAATTGTATGTGCTCTGATGAATATGGAGTGTTCTGCATTCCGGCTAATCCTTTCCGTGCGGTCCTGACTAAACTCTTCTGATGCCCCTTCACCAATAAACCACAACAGACTAGGAAAGTAGGCTGTGAGTCAAGGAAGTTCTCAAAACCTGAATCTGACTCACGTATCTCAACGGAATGGCGCATGTGCCATGAGTCAGGCAGCTGGCGTTGCTTGCAGCATTTCTGTCCCTGCACCCGCCTTCCTGCAGAGACAAGGCTGAGCCTCTCGGGTGGGATTCTTGAAAAGAGAATTTTGAAAAGAGAAGCTACCTATTCTTTTTAAATTGTAAAATCAAAACATGGAAAAATAACATTTTTATGTCAAGTTTTTGCTTTTCACGCCAGCCCTGAGTTAAAGACCCAGGACGATGAACTGTGGCCCTCCCCGCTGAGCCTCAGTGTGTCTTTGGAAAATTAGCCGATTCTTACTCTGACTCTCACTTCTCCTTCCGGCATCCATTTTCAAGACGGTCTGTAACATGACCGTGGCTGTTACTGTGAACTTTCTTTTTTTAAGATTGTATGTTGGAGAAATGGCAGAAGGGAAAGACATATGTTAGCTGTGGAAATTATGCTTTTGTGTTTCCTACTTTCTAGGCTATCTTATTTCCAAAAGAGGGTAAAGTATCATGTCATGTGGTTTCTCAGTTTCTTTGTGTCTGTCACCATCTCACAAAGGTAGTTGAGTATCTTCTTTCTCCTTCCATTTGTCATCTGTTCACCTGGATTTTACATTTCCTTTCAAGATCGACATTTTATACACTGAGAGATAGCATCTCTAGGCTCTCCCTGGAACAGTCAGTACCTTGCTCGTGTGGTAGAGGCGCGGCAATAAAGAGCTGGCTCATTTGGGGTCATCTGTGGAAAAATAGCTCACAGATATCCGTTGGATGAAATTTAGAAATTAATGCTAGACAACCAGAAGCCTCCCCAAAGTGTGTAGTTTCCCAGCTTTAAGTGGAATGAGAGAATTGAGGATTCTTTTCCCCTTTTCTTCATCCGGTGTTGGTAGTCCTACCCAAAAGCAAATTACAGGGGTGGCGTTGTACGCTTTCTCTCAGTGGTTACAGAAAAGTGGGTGCTTTGTTTTCCTCAGGGCTCTCCTCAAGATTTATAGGAGAAAACTGAAATCGGAGATGTTTTTGAGTAGTGGGAGGACAATGTAAAAAATATCCATGAAGCTTTATGGAGATTGCTGCTGTCTGTCCCAGATTTACGTGAGCAGCATTTACAGCCTGACCGCAGTGTTTGCAAATGAAACTCACTCACTTGATTCCAATTTCCACTGGGGAAGACTCCCTTGTGGCTTTGAAAAATGCTACTTAACTAAGGGGACTTGTATTCCCCTTTCAGTTTCTATCTAGTTGAAGGGTTATAAGTCACTCCACTTTCTTTAGCGTTTGCTGAGCCAACTTAAATTAGGATGGAATATCATTTTCATCTAATAATAAAAACCAAAGAAAATATTTTAGATTCCTATTTTCAGAATATGGAATATCTTATTAAACACTCATCTTCTCCCCCACCCGCCCCCCCCCCTTGTTCTTTTATAACTCCTTCCTTGCTTCCTTTCAAAGTCTTTCACAATACAGTGATGAGAACATGATGGACCCTTATAACCTGGCCATTTGCTTTGGCCCAACACTGATGCCCGTCCCAGAAATACAGGATCAAGTGTCCTGCCAGGCTCATGTGAATGAAATTGTCAAAACCATCATCATCCACCATGAGACTATTTTCCCGGATGCTAAAGAGCTGGACGGCCCTGTTTATGAGAAATGTATGGCTGGAGACGACTACTGGTAAGTTAAAAAATGTTGAGTCCTTCTTCCCCCTGGAAATTTACAATTTAAAATATATAGAAGAATAGGAATCAACTTTTTAAGAAAAAGAATTGACCATAGGTTGCCAGTGCTTACAACTAACAAAAAAAGAAGCAGCAGTAGGAATACTTGAGATAAATTAGAATGCTAAGACCCATGGCAACCCTGGCTTCTTATTATAGAACGTCATCCCTTTTCCCCAAGGATGACATCTTTTTAGATATATCCACCCTATCATGGCTTTTGTGGAGAATAATGGTTTTGATATTATATAGAACTATATTAATTTTTACTAGTACATCAAGAAAAGATAACTGATTGAATTGACAGATTTTATTTTCATTCTGAAATAGTTTTAATTTTATATAAAGTGGTTTCAAAATTCTCATTTTTAAAAGGAGCTTTATCAACCAAATGTTTTTTCATTCTTACTTATTTTTTTTAATATATTTTTATTGACTTTAGAGAGAGAGGAAGGAAGAGGGAGAGAGAGATGTGAGAGCGAAACATCAATCAGTTGCCTCCCGTACACACCCGACCAGGGGCCAGACCCGCAACCTGGTCATGTGCCCTGACCAAGAATCAAACCAGCAACCTTTTGGTGCGCAGGATGACATCCAACCAACTGAGGCACACTGGCCAGGGCCATTCTTACTTATTTTTATTTTTATTCTTATTAATATTATCCTAACTAGTTGTGGTAATGGTTATTTTGAGCAAATTATTTACATTAATACATTGTTGGGATAACAATTTTTTTATTTTACTTATTTTTACTTGAGTTTATTGGGGTGACATTGGTTATTAAAAATCTGTAGGTTTCACCCTAACCGGTTTGGCTCAGTGAATAGAGCGTTGGCCTGCAGACTCAAGGGTTCCAGGTTCGATTCTGGTCAAGGGCATGTACCTTGGTTGCGGGCACATACCCAGTAGGGTGTGTGCAGGAGGCAGCTGACCGATGTTTCTCTCTCATCAATGTTTCTAACTCTCTGTCCCTCTCCCTTCCTTTCTGTAAAAAATCAATAAAATATATTTTTTAAAAATCTATAGGTTTCAAGCTTACAATTCTATCATGCATTATCTGTATATTGCATTGTGTATTTACCACCCGAAGTCAAATCTCCTTTCATCACCATTTAATCCTCCCTATATACTCTTCTACCTTCCCCTACCCCTCTTTCCCTCTGGTAATACCCATGCTGTTGGGATAACAGTGTTTTAATATGGCAGTATAGACACCTTTCAGTGAAGCAGTAAAAATGAGGGAGATATAGTCAATTGAATAATACCAATGGTAGAACACCCTCAATGGTTTATGTTCACAATTTGATATATGAGCCCCAGCTTCTAGGAGATTGTATATGATCAATAAAAGTAGCTTGATTCCTTGAGCAGCCCCTACAGCTCCTCAGGGCATATGATCTCTCTTACTCCTCGCAGTCACTCTACCAAGTAAGTTAAGAGAGACCAAGGAGCCTGTCCAATGACTGGTAGTAACTGGAGACAGGTCTGTCTGATTACAAACCCACATGAGTCCTCCCCCTTAACAGCTGCCTCCCAGCCTCACTCGGAAACTGCCCTGCACAGCTCACATGCAGGAATGGCCAGAAATAGACGTGTTTGAGCCTTCATTCTCGACCCTCCTCAAGACTCTTTGTTTCCCTTTGCCTTCCCAGGGATTAAGTAGAAATAGAATCAGTAGCTGAAAGATCTTAAGTAACTAAAGGTACACTGATTTTTTACTTAAACCACAATGTGATCTCAAACCACAGTGTGGTCATATGCCTCAAGAAAACTGAGAGTTGATTCTTTCCAGAAGTACGGCTTTCTAAATTAACCACAGAGGATGACACATGCCAGTTCTATAGTATATCCAGCAATTTTACACATGACAGTCAATTCAAAACTATTTACTTTACCCTGCACTTAACATGTACAAGGTACTGACTGAGCTTGGCGCTGAGATGAATGAACAAGCATGTGGATGTCTGATCAGGATTATTGGATGCGCTGTCCTTTCTGTGGTTGCTGCTTTTTTACAGAGTAAATCCCCGTAATAAAGAGTCTTGCGGCAATAACATGTGCTTGCAATAACATGTGCTTATGTTCTCCCGTACATAGTGTTCTCTATGGGTATTGCTCATTCTAAACAGAAAGTCAATAATACAGCAGTAACCAGCAATATAAATGGGCTTTTGCAGCAAAGTCAGGTTTGTATCTGTGTCCAGTGCTTATTTCAGTGCTTATTTCATTTATCAGCATGCATTTGAGAAGAGGTGGTGGTAGTGTTAAAGGGTGAGTTTTTTGTTTGTTTGTTTGTTTAATTGATTTCAGAGAGGAAGGGAGAGGGAGAGACAAAAATAGAAACATCAATGATGAGAGAGAATCATTGATCGGCTGCCTCCCACACACCCCACACTGGGGATCGAGCCCGAAACCTGGGCATGTGCCCTGACCAGGAATTGAACCGCGACCTCCTGGTTCATAGGTTGACTCTCAACCATTGAGCCACGCCAGCCGAGCAAGGGTGAGTTTTTGAAAGGATAAAATCATAACTCTCACACAAACATACAATGAACATCTGTGAAGAAAAGATGGAAAAAATACTACAATTAATTCAAAGCAGAAATCAAAGAGCCATTTATTAATATGTGGTAAGGAATGTTGAAATGAATTTGCAAAAACTGGTGCGTTCATAGGGCACATATTCTACGAGAACTCGACAAATTTTCACTTCTGTGGATAAGAGTTAGTTGTAGGGCTGCAAGTTCCCTACAAGTTAGCTTTGTCTTTGCAGAGTTGTAAAACAACTTTTGTGTCCCAGCAAAGGGACGCACACTGCCCAGGGGCCAGATCGTCCCTGGAGGCTCCAGCATTCCACTGAGCGGCTGTCCAGTAATTCTGGCCATTCCAAGCCTTATAGGCTTCCTTACAGTAGCAATTGCTCATTTTTGAAATTCTTTCCACTTTGGCTTCACATGAATTTCTATTTCCGCTCCACAGCGACAGCCCCTACAGCGAGCACGGTACGTTGGAGGAAGTGGATCAGGATGCTGGTACTGAGACCCACACCAGTGAGGACGGTATGTTATAAAACTAGTCTTTTATCCTTTCTAAGAACTGCTCATTAAGAATTCAGGAGAAACAAAAGAACATTTATAAAATAGGTGTAGAGTATGAAGAATAACATTACAGTGAACATGCATGGAACCACCAAGTTTAAGAAAAACGGCATCATTACCTTTGTGCTCCCCTAATCCCATTGCCGTCCTCACCCCCAAGGGTAACCTCTATATGTCTGTGTGTTTAAATGGTTTGTCGTTTCATTTTCTATTGTATGGAACTTCCTATAAATGGAATCATACTGTACATTTTTCCCATTATTTTTTTCTACTCAGTAATATGTTCCAGAAATTCATCCACATTGTTGCATATAGTTATAACCATTTAATTGACTACTGTATAATATTTCATTGTACTTATATATGTTGTTATTGATGAGTATATGGGGTGTTATCTTTTTTGCCATTAAAAACAGTGCTGCGATGAATATTTTGAGTATGCATCCCACTGCAAATGTATGGGAGTTTCTCTAGGATGTACACATCTAGGAATATTAGTAAGCTTGTGAAAATGGTTGTAATGGTGTACACTTCCCCCAGCAGTGTATCAGCCTTTCGGTTGTGTGTATATTCATCAATCAACTATTGTCATCTTTGCCCATATTGTCAGTGTGAAATTGTATCTCATTGTGATGTAATTTCCATTTCTCTGGTTTGCTAATGAAGATGTTTTAAACTAGTCTGTTAATAGAAAATTGGGGGTATAGGGAGGCCAGCAGATGAGGAGATGATTGCCATTGAAGATACGTTGTTTCTCACAGCTCCCATGAGGAAAGAGCACAGCACCCTTGGGTGGCCACAGCATCAAGTGCCAGGGTCTGTCATGAGGCAGGAGAGGGAGCAACTGGGCAGGAGCCTTTGTTTCGGTTTCCACTGGAACAGGAGAGGCTAGATAAGCAGGTTGGAACAATTTCCGCAGGCTTGGGGCATAGACTGCTATCTCTCCTTGTACCTGGCCCTGAGGTGATTAGGGCAGCGGGGTGGTGGCCCAGAGTGTGAGAATCCTAGAGAGGGGCTGGTTGGGGTGGGCTGTGGATGGGGTGGATTGTATTGGGAAGGCACACTCCAGGTGTAGGAATCGGCTGACCTGGGAAGGACAGTCCCTCCAGGGCTAACAAGGCCCAGATGTCTGAATACAGAAAATAAAAAACATGGTTAATACAGATATACTCATTTTTATATGTTTAGATTTCTTTTTGTGTGAAATTCCTATCAAATCTTTTGCGCATTAAGACCCATTTGTCCACTATTAGTTTCTCCGGGCTTTTAAAATTTATTTAGTTTGGTTTAGCTTTGGTATTTTCCTTATTTGTGAGAGTTCCTTATTTGTAAGAGTTCATTATGGTTCTGGATCAGGTCTTTTACTGGGTATATATTTTATAAATATCTTCTGCTCTGTAGCTTGTCTTTCATGTGCTTATTATATCTTTTGCTAAAGAGAGGGTCTTAATTTTAAAGGAGTTAGAGGTTCTTTTCACTTTGTGTCTCCTTTAGGAATATCCTTCTGCACCTGAGGTAATGAAGAGAATTCTCCTATATTCTCTTTTAAATCTTTTCAGGTTTTGTTTTTCACAAAAGCTTAAATTAACCAGGCAGGGAAAATGCCCTCAGGACAGACTCTGACTCACATTTTCTAGGGTTCTGTTTACTTCACTGGATTCCCACTTTCATTGAGTTTTTGGTCTGTAGTATTCCTTGGTATTATGATGGCTCCAATGCCATCTCAAAGTTTTTTTTTAATCCAACATTCGTTTTTAAATATATTTTTGTTGATTTCAGAGAGGAAGGGAGAGGGAGAGAGCTAGAAACATCAATGATGAGAGAGAATCATTGATCAGTTGCCTCCTGCTCACCCCCTTACTGGTGATCGAGCCCGCAACCCAGGCATGTACCCTGACCTGGAATCGAACCAGTGGCCTCCTAGTTCATAGATGGATGCTCAACCATTGAGCCACTCGGGCCAGGCTCAATACCACATTTTTTAGTTGACTTCAACAATAGGGTAATCAGGATGTCTAGCGTGTCTACCCTCTGCTATAAAAGGAAAGTTTCTTTGTGTTTTTAAAAGTAGGATGAGTTGACATTTTCAGAGCTTAAGTTAGAAGATATTCTTTCAAGTGAGAGCTGTGATGTTGCTTTTGAAAGTCTCTGAGCCCTACCTCTGCTACCATTTATTCTTTTGTCTTGAGTTTCTTTGTTGCTCTATATGATTCATTCCTTTTTCATTGATATTGATGACTTCTCTAAGTGTTTCCTTGCTCTCCCCTGTGGCAGGCAGGAGAAGACAAAGCCTCAGCCATCCCTCTTTCAAACATCACCCTCTCCACCGTGCCATCTGTCTGTTGTTCTTACCTCTTGACTGTAAAAGAAAAGCTTTGCTGAGGGCTCTGCGTCTTAGATAACATTTTGATCATGTTCTTCTGATTTTGTTAAAGAAAAGCATTGCTTACAAAGGTCAGACATCCTTACCCACAGCCAGCCCCTAAAGTCCTGTAGCTAAATTAATTAGAGTATTGATTATCTTTTTGATTGCTCAGATATTTATTTTCTTGTCTTTGTCATGGTATCACTAGAGAGCATAGCTTTTGTTTCCAAAAAGAGAGTCTGTCACAGAACAAAACTGCCATCTGCAAGGGCAGTGGGTAACAGATCAAGGAAGAAAAGTGGCAGAGACACCAAGGCCCCAACGAGAAAGTGTGATGCACTAGCATTTCTTATAAAATTAGAAGAAATGTAAATACTTTACTGAATTTTCTTTCTCTTTGCACAAAGTTATAACAATCATGCATAAAAATGAAGCTATCGTATTATTGTTGTTGTTACTGATAGTAGCAGCATTCTGCAGCCTCTGCCCAACCTTAAAGGGCCATGTTACTCTCTCTGTGAAAGGCATGTGGTGTGGTGCCATGCCCTGGGACTGATTTGCTCTGCAATGACTAGACTAAGATGTGTATAAATAGCTTATGATTGACACTTGACTGTGAAATGACTCTCGTGGGAGCAGAAAGAGCCAAAATAATGAAATTGCTCAGAATTACTAGTTGATTAGCAGGGTTGCCAATAAATTGTACTTCTGATTCATCTGGTTATTCTTTCATAACCTCTCCACATTTGAACTAAATAAGCAAAAACCGATGATCCTGTTGCTAGTTGTTTCAAAAAATAAAAAGAGATTGTGAGCACAGAGGTTATGATTATGAAATTATAAAAAAAAATGTATATATCTATTAAATAGTCTTAAATTGCCTTTGGCCAGTGTTGACAGTGTATGATTGAGTGGCATTCAAGAACATTAATGGTTCTCTCTTCATTTCCCATTGACAAGTACATGGATTGTACACCGTGATATGGGCTGGTATATTTCCTTCTTTTTCTAATAAAACAAAATTTTAACACATGGGGTGTTCACATAGAAATTTATAAATTACATGTCATGAAGTTCTTTTTAATAAGTTGTCATGTCTTCATTCTTCCATGGATATGTTTATTTGTATCCCTACACCATGGACATGTTTATTTCTGTCCCCCAGGGAGAACTGAGGTAAAAAAAATTTGGTATCTGTCATCTCAGATCAACCAGCATTTTTGAATATAAAGTTATATTCCTCCTCTATGAAGCAGACTGGTAGATATTTAATAAAGCTGCTATTGATATTGTTTTAATAAAGAAAATATAATTTTAGGATGGAATTCCAGAGGGTTAACATATGATCTAAAGTTATCGTCAGTTGTTAAAGGGTTAAACTGTTGTTTTTAAATTATTTTTACACCTACTTTGCTGAGAAGTATACTACATGCAGACAACATCATCTACTAGCAAAAAGATGGAGCACTTATTGTCTTTATTTTAAACTAGAGGCCCAATGCATGAAATTCATGCACGGGTAGAGTCCCTAGCCTGGCCGGCAATCAGGGCCGATTGGGCCTTCCTTCCCCGGCTGCCAGCTGCCGACCGGGGCCTTTTGTCATTCTGCGACACCCCCTGGTGGTCAGCGCACATCATAGCGAGCGACCAAACTCCCGGTCTCTCAGTGGAACTCCCAAGGGGACATTTTGCATATTAGCCTTTTATATATATAGACTAGAGGCCCAGGGCACGATTAAATCATGCATGTGTAGGGTCCCCTAGGCCTTGCCTGCCATCATGGCCATGTCCGCCACCCCACAACGCCTCGCACACTCTGCAAACGCTGCCGGCACCCCATGACACTCCGCAGACGCTGCCAGTGCCCCATGATGCTCTGCCGATGCTGGGGGAGGAGGGGAGAAGGAGGGCCTGAGAGGTGCTTCATGCACCTCATGGTGACCGGTCATTTGGTTGTTTCGGTCGTGACCCCTCTGGCCTTTTATTATTATGATGTATAGCCCAGCCAGTGTGGCTCAGTGGTTGAGTGTCAACCTATGAACCAGGAGGACACAGTTTGATTCCCAGTCAGGGCACATGCCGGGGTTGCTGGGATGATCCCCAGTAGGGGGGGGGTACAGGAGGCAGCCAATCAATGATTCTCTCTCATTGATGTTTCTATTTCTCTCTCCCTCTCCCTTTCTCTCTGAAATCAATAAAAATATATTTTAAATAAATTAAATTAAAGGTATAGCTGAAATTCACACAGGCCCTTCAGATAAGGCAGATCCTAAGCTTTTTCAATATGTTTATTGATTTTTATTATTTGCTTTACCTGTCCTAGAGAGTGTTTGAATTTATCAAGTGAGAAAGAAGCTTAGCTGGCTACCCAAGGACCTCTTAGGCAGTCATTCCACATAAGTACAACAGATATTGAAGATACTGCAATGAACTTTGGGAAAAAATACACTATTTTAAATGAGAAGGTTTTTTTCCAAGGTAAACAGAAAACAATTTCCTGAGAAAATATCTGACAGATAGTTAGGTTTTAATCTATTATGTGTGCACATATATTCTAGAGTATTTGGAAACTAATGCATACTCGGTTTTTAGCAAATGAGGTATTGCTCATAGCATATAGTTCTCTAAGGATGTACCACCTGTATTGGCCCTTTTTAGTTCTGTTTACTTTAAAAACATTTTTGATTGATTGATTTGAGAGAGACATCGATTTGTTGTCCCACTTATTTATGCACTCATTGGTTGGTTCTTATATGTGCCCTGACCAGGATCAAACCTGCAACCTTGGTGTATCAGGACAGTTCTCTAACCAACTGAGCTACCAGCCAGGGCTAGTTCTGTTTATTATTGAGGATGAGGTGATGTTGGGGGAGGGGAAGAAAGATCACAATAAGCCAAATTACAAAAAGCACCTGTTACAGTTGTTTAATTTAATTTGTCTGCTTATTGGCCTTCAATATTTGTGGTCAGAAGTAGATCAGAGCTGAAACTCCTATTCTAGGCCCAGAATTCAATAAGTTTTTCAAACTTTTTATTTTGAGATTATTGTAGACTTACATGCCATTGTAAGAAATAATACAGAGAGATCCCATATACCCTTCACCCAGTGTTCTGCCACAGTAATAGCTTACATGAGTATAGGATAATACCACAACTAGGAAATTGACATTGATACAATCATTCACCATGTTCACATTTTACCAGTTTTACATGCACTCATTTGCATACGTATTTACTTGGTTCTGTACACTTTTATCACATGTATAGATTTGTGTGACCACAATGATAGTCAAGAAGAACAGTTCCATCCCAAGGATGCCTTGTGCTGCCCTTTACAGCCATTTCCTCCTGTCACCGCCCCCACCCAAACCTCTGGCAACCAGTAATCTAGTCTCCATCTTGATAGTATATCATTTCACGTAGGCTAAATAAATGGAATGATACAGTGTCTAACCTTTTGAGATTGGCTTTTTCACTCACTATTATTCCCTTGAATACCCTTTTATCTCTAGCAAATACAGTTTTCGAATCTGGTCTTTTACTGTCAGAACAGGACAGTCTTAAGTTATGCTTATTTCATAGGTAATAGTCAGAATTTGTTACTGATACTAGAGAACACAAAGTTGTCTTTACACTTGATGGTAGTTTGAAGATCTGATAGTGCTAAAAAAGTAGATGAGGAAATTCAATGTATTTAAGTAGTATTTAATGTGGCAATTTTTGTAAACTTGATTTTTAGAAAAATAAGCACATAAAACAAACTTCCTGGTGTTGTGGGTTAGTGATGTTTACACATTATAAGTGGGATTAATGTGTTGCAAGGGAACTCCATCAATGTCAAAATTATATTGGAGTTGTTGTGGAGGATATTACAACCCCGGGAGAGATCTTATATATCATACTGCAAAGTTTAAACTATTTTTTATTAAACTGTCGTTATAGCTCTAGTAAGAGGCTGTGGAAATTAAGATCTAATGTTCAATTTTTCTTTACCTGAAAAACTGTTGACAGCCAAAGAATGTTTTTCTGTATCTCTTTTAGCATCTCCTTTTCTCCTTGATGATTTGTTTATTCCCTTGTTCTGTCTGGATATGAAAGCGGCCTTCCTTCTTTCTAAGGCCTAACCTAGACCTTTCAGATAGTGTATTATGCCTTCCCAACAGCCCTGTCCCTCACCGCTTCCTGGTGTGTTCTCTGTAGAATGTGAGCCAATAGAAGCCATAGCCAAGTTTGACTACGTTGGGCGGTCTGCCAGAGAGCTGTCCTTCAAGAAGGGAGCCTCCCTGCTGCTGTATCACCGAGCGTCCGAGGACTGGTGGGAAGGCAGGCACAACGGGATCGACGGGCTGGTGCCTCACCAGTACATCGTGGTGCAGGACATGTGAGTAGTCCCAGCCTCGGTGGCCAGAGTGCTCCCAAGAGGAGACTCCAGCTTCTGCTCTTCCAGTGACCTTGGCCTTGTGGGAGAAGAGCAGGAGGGCTTGCAGAGCTAGCACTTCTGCGCTGGCAGTTCTTCCCCTGCCCGTGGGCCTCTGATAACAGAACTGCCGGGCCAGCAGGTTCTCATTTCTCAGAATCCACCGGAGGCTGGGAGCAAGGACTAGTGAGAGACGCCTTTTGAAGCCTCCAGATTCTTAGAACCTGAGCAGAGAAGGACTTTACGAGCTGAGTGACACTGCTGAATCCAGAAGCAGTGGTGCTCTTCCTTTGGTGCCTGCCTACCATTTCAATTCCAGGTTCCCAAGAGAGAAGATACTGGCCTCAAGTTTAAAAAGTATCATCTCCTGGCTTCTTTTTTTTTTCCATTTTGCTGATGAGAAAGCTCTAATTTCAAAATTATTTTAAAAGATGGAAAGATCATCATAATATATAAAGTGAAAGAAACAGGTTACAAAGTGTGATGTACAGAATAATCCCTATTTTGTGAACATGTTATTTCACAATGCAGCACCAATTTAAGAGTAGCTTTTCAAGGAAAAGAGAAATATAACACATAAAATGTATAAGGTGAATACATGAGTCGGTCTAATTTTAGAAGTGTTAAAATGTGTACCTCAGGACCCAAGAAATATTATGTGTATACTAGAGGACCAGTGCACGAAATTCATGCACTGGTAGGGTCCCTCGTGGCTGCTAGCTGCCAGCCAGGGCCTCTCTCCCTTCCCCCAGCCGCCACCTGCCAAGGCCTCCCTCCCTTCCCCCGGGCCGGCCCCACCCCCTGGTTGAACTCCCAGACAACCTCCCAGTTGAGGGGACAATTTGCATACTACGCTTTTATTATATAGGATACAGATATCAGTCATATGTATCTAAAGTATATAAGCATAAGCATCCATAATGTACAGAAAATACTATATACATGCACAGGGTGGGGCAAAAGTAGGTTTACACTTGTGAGTATGCAAAATACAGTTTATTCTATTATTATTTATTAATTATATTATCTTCCATATGAACAACTATAACCTACTTTTGCCTCACCCTGTATATGCACACACTTGTAGGCATGTATCCCAGGCATTACAAAAAGTATAGAAGGATCGTTTTTAAAATTCTGACAATAGTTGTCTCTGGATGTTATTTTATATTATGGGTAATTGTTATTTGTGTATCTGAATTTTCCACTTTTTCTGCAATGAAATTGTATTATTTTTATAATGAAAAGGAAAACATTACATTAATAAGAGACTTACATACATAACTGCCATCACTTATTTGTGTGTGTGTGTGTGTGTGTGTGTGTGTGTGTGTGTGTGTGTGTCCTATTCATCTAGCAAAACACCCTCACTGTTGATTCTCGTTACTTCAGGGATGATACGTTTTCAGACACTCTGAGCCAAAAAGCTGACAGCGAGGCCAGCAGTGGGCCAGTGACTGAAGACAAGTCTTCATCCAAGGACATGAACTCCCCAACAGACCGGCATTCGGATGGGTATTTAGCCAGGTGGGTGGAGCCTGGTAGTCAGGCTCCTGAACCTCCACTTCCCCTGGGGCCATGCGGAGCCCAGTGCCCTTTGCAGTATTACCCAGTGTGGTGAGCGCTCCTTTTCTCTCGTTCTCTCTGTGTATGTCTAGACAAAGAAAAAGAGGAGAGCCACCCCCTCCAGGAAGGCGTCCTGGCAGAACCAGTGATGGCCATTGTCCTCTCCACCCCCCACATGCTCTTTCCAACTCCTCAGTTGACCTGGGGTCCCCAAACCTGGCCAGTCACCCCCGGGGCCTGCTGCAGAACCGTGGCCTCAACAACGACAGTCCGGAGAGGAGGCGCCGGCCAGGCCATGGCAGCCTGACCAACATCAGCCGCCACGACTCCCTCAAGAAGATTGACAGCCCTCCTATTAGAAGGTCCACGTCATCGGGGCAATACTCAGGCTTCAATGACCACAAGCCACTGGACCCAGAGATGATCGCTCAGGTGGGATGCTTTTAGGGGAATAGTGCACGTTCAGTGCCTGGGGTGTGATGAAGGAGGTTTGCAGGGTTTCCTTTTCTGTAGCCCTGTATTTTGTATAGAACCAACTAATGAAAACAAAAAAGAAATTAGTCCATTCTTTAATTTAAGGCCTCGCTATGGGCCTCTTGAAGAACCATGTGTTACTGGAAGGGCCCAAGTACATTAGGTTTATATTGATTTAAATAGTCATGGCAGAAATGTAGGACCCAGGGCATTCAAATGCATCATTGCCACATAGCCGGGAAAATTCTGCAAAGAAGAATAATGAGGAAGGACTAGCCCTCCCAGATCTGAATGCATGCTAAAGACAGTAAAACAGACAAGTTGATGGAACAGAACAGAGAGCCCAGAAACAGAAACGTTTTAGTATGGAATAAAGATGACACTTTCATCTCAAGAAGTGATGAATTAGTGAATGATGAGAAGTGATGGTTAGCTGTTTGAAGAACAGCGGGTCTGGATACTGGGTCATTCCTGAATACATACGTGTCTTCACTTTTTCCTAATGATTAGAATTGACAAAGTCAAAGGACCTGTAAAAAAAAATTAATTTGCCCTAGCTGGTCTGGCTCAGTGATAGAGCGTCAGCCTGTGGACTAAAGGGTCCCGAGTTCAATTCTGGTCAAGGGCATATGCCTGGGTTGCGGGCTTGATCCCCAGTAAGGGGCATGCAGGAGGCAGCCAATCAATGATTCTCTCTCATCACTGATGTTTCTCTCTCTCTCTCTCCCTCTCCCTTCCTCTCTGAAATCAATAAAAATATTTTTTTTAAATTAATATATTTTCCCATAGTTCCACCATATTCCCCTCTAGTTCTTTTTGCAGCACAGCCATTAAAAATGTGTGTGTGGCCAGTGGCAAAGGAGGTGAATAGATTCAGGCTTTGCCAGTTGTGTAATCTGAAGTGACTTCTAGCTATCACTGAAGCTTAAAACTAAATAGATCAAAAAAGAAAGTGAATGAGAAGTGGAGAGACAAATATGGGGACTTATTAAAGATGGATTATTTTTCATAACAAGAGCCCAAGGAAACCTGCAAGATATTTTCAGTGTCCTATCTAAAAAGAATTTTGGATAGCAAATTAGATTGTATAAGGAGTTTAATGTGTTTTTAAAACATCGAACCAATGTTAAGTGCACAACGATTTTTCAGCAAAAATCAAAAAGACTTTTGCCCTTCTTGGTTTTCTCTATTGGAAGTATTCTCTGTGCAGGTCCTTTGAGGCCTGTTTAGAGCCAGTGGGTGACATTTGACTACAGTTCAGTACTGATTGGAAAAGCCGTAACTTCACTGCTTACAATAAGCAGGTGGAAAAGGATTTGGGTTACAGAGACAAGGATTTGGGAGCTTGGGGGTGGGAAGACCTACTAAGGTCTATTTAACCCTTCTGCTTCTAGAGGCAGGAAATCCTTTCATTGCAAATCATAACAACAGGAACTCAACAGATAAACAAGGCTCTCTTCATTCTCTCAGGGGCAAATACTTGTTATAAAAACAAATCCATATGCTTAGCATCAAATGGAAGTCACATATGAAAATAATTACTTGCAAAGTGATGTCATCCTCAAAATGGCTTCCAGCTGTGTCCTTTATTTATCTTTCCATCTCTCACCTCCAGATTTTCCCATGAGGACAATGAAGCCTGCCATCATGATGTTCATACCAAAGGGAAATAAATAAATAAATAAATATGCAAATTCTTTTATTAAACAAATCAGTGGAATCCCTGATGACGTTTTTGGGGGTTTTTTAGCTACAGTATCCATATGTGATCATCATGTTTTGGTTTATTCATTCAGCAGAGCACTTACAGTGTGCTAGGTCCTGTGCTAGGCTTTATGGACACAATGTTAAATCAATAGACTGAAGGTGCTTACCATCCAATGAGGGAGTTGAGTGTGGAAATCAGTTAGCACTGTGCGTAGCCAGAGGGTTATGCTCCAGGTGAGTGGAAGAAGAGGTCTCTCAGTCAAACTAGAGCAGTGGTCCTCCACTCACCCTGCCTCACACAGTACTCTACCTTTTGAGTGTGTGCATATTAACAACACAGTTCAGTAAAATATACGCTCATTGTTGTGAAACACATCTCCAGAACTTTTTCATCTTGTGAAACTGAAACTGTACACCCATTGAACAACAACTCCCCTTTGGCCCATCCCACCCAGCCCCTGGCCGCCACCAATAATAACTCAATTATTGCCAAGTATTGAGTTAGTCTTAACTCAGATTCCATGAAAAGTGTTTCCATTAGTGATGTGATTTTTCTGAAATGGTGGACAACGCTTGGTCAGTCCCAATCAAAATAGAGTATAATATACATGATCACTTATTCCTAGAAAACTTAACACCATTAAAAAATATTTTGTGGCCCTAGCTCAGTGGTCGGCAAACTCATTAGTCAACAGAGCCAAATATCAACAGTACAACGATTGAAATTTCTTTTGAGAGCCAAATTTTTTAAACTTAAACTATATAGGTAGGTACATTGTTATTAACTTAAATAGGGTACTCCTAAGGCTTAGGAAGAGCCACACTCAAGGGGCCAAAGAGCCGCATGTGGCTCTCGAGCCGCAGTTTGCCGACCACTGCCCTAGCTGGTTTAGCTGAGTGGATAGAGCGTCAGCCTGCTGACTGAAGGGTCCCGGGTTTGATTCCGATCAAGAGCACATGCCTGGGTTGCAGGCTCAATCCTCAGTAGGAGGCATGCAGGAGGCAGCCAATCAATGATTTTCTCTCATCATTGATGTTTCTCTCTCTCTTTCCCTTCCTCTCTGAAATAAATAAAAATATATATATTTTGTGTTTATATATAAGAAAGAATTGGGTTGTAGGCTCAGGTTATTATAAATGCTGGCCTGTTTGCTTGGAAGTGAAATTATGTGTTTCTATACATGAGTATTTATTATCAGTTTGTTCTCTCTCTCTTCCTAATGATGTTACAACAGGATATTGAAGAGACGATGAACACTGCTTTGAATGAACTCCGAGAACTGGAGAGACAGAGCACAGCAAAGCACGCCCCCGATGTGGTTCTGGACACCTTAGAACAAGTGAAAAACTCCCCTACCCCCGCCACTTCCACCGAATCTCTCAGCCCTTTGCACAACGTGGCCCTCAGGAGCTCAGAGCCTCAGATTCGACGAAGCACTAGCTCCTCCAGTGACACGATGAGTACTTTCAAACCTATGGTGGCCCCCAGAATGGGCGTACAGCTAAAGCCTCCAGCCCTAAGGCCAAAACCTGCTGTTCTTCCAAAAACAAACCCTACCATAGGACCTGCGCCTCCCTCCCAGGGTCCTACAGACAAGTCTTGCACAATGTGAAAACCACTGGGCAAGGTCATCCGGGGAGGTGATTAAAAAAAAGAAAATGGATTAGTGACAAGTCACGATCCATAACTTTCCATAGTTTTGTGCTTAGAACTGGAGATCTTCTGGCTTTCCTCTGTTCTCAAACGTAACGTCTAAGACTAGCTAAATTAACACGGGCATTTGTATTTTGTAGTTTCTTTTTTTTAATAACTGGACATATGTCATTTTAAAGACAATAGACTCACTTAGACTTACTTGAAAATTCAATGCTGCACCATTTGTAACGAAGGCAACACCACTCTGCTCTCCGCATTGTATAGCGCTTCGGGTTTAGAGCAACCTGGGTGACTCAGAACTGCCTGGGTCCCAAAGCACGAGAATCTGAGTTCCAGGCTTTGGAGTATAACCAGTGCTGGTCTGTGGCACTTGGGGTCATGGCCAAAGGGTGGTGATGGCATTGTTTGGTAGCTGACAGTGAGCGCCTCTGGCTCCATGTAGGGGGACAGGGTTTGGCTCACACTAAAGACTTTCAGGTGTCACAGTGGGATGGACATTCCCAGTGGGACCTTCAACCCACGGCCTGAATGAGTGGATGAGTGTCTCTTTCACAGTAAGTCATTTCCCTGGGTCCAGGTTAAAGACTCAGCGGAAGAGGGTAGAGCCTCTGTAGTTACTGCTTGACCTGAAACCTGGGAGAGGAGGGAGGCAGTTCTCCAGAGTTACCAGTGTGACTCCTTCCACGCGCCTGACCAGGCCCCAGAAGATTTCCAGCTCCATCCTTCACATTCACAAAGGACTAGAGCTGTCTAGTCTTCAAGACTTTCTGGTCACACTGCTCCACAAACAACTCCCAAGAGCTGTTGTTCAGTGACTGCCTGGAAAACATTCCCAGCTCCCCTCAATCCCGGGCTTCTCCCTTCTGGAAATGGAGAAAGCAAGCAGCACAACAGTGCTCGGTCCACTCGGCCTTCTCTTCTCCAGACCAAATGATCTTGGTTCCTTTAAACATGCTGCAGAGAACAGACGATCCTGAATTGAATCCCCACCTTTCCTCTCCTTCTGTCTCTCTGAGCCAACCTAGAACTGGCCACGGTACTGGAGTAAGCGCCGTGCTGGCCACGGTGGGAGAATTTCCTCATGGTTCCAGGATCACTTCCTCCCGATTTTATACCCTGGAACCAGGACTTTTTTTTTTTTTCCCTTTTCCTTTCTCGTACGGTCTCTACATAATTCACATAGTCGCCTAGCTCCATGAGGGGCCCTCTTTCTCTGACAATTTTTCTTTAGCCCATTTTTATGCTATAGTTCCCTCTATCTTAAGAAGGTTGCTTTGAATTAATTTGCTTTTGCAAAGGTACAAATCACCACTCCCCCACCAGCAGCAGCTTATATCATCCGTCAGCCTATGAGCATTTTATCTGTTCTATCGTTGAACTTACTGATGAGGAGACCTGTTGTTTTTTATGATAAGTGGGTGGCCAGAACTCACCCCTCCGGACCACCATTGATTTCCTTCTAAGTGTGGTTTCAAACTGGTAGCCAATCACATGCCCACCTAAGAATTACACAGTATGGACTTCATCAGCCCACTGGTGACTGCATCATGCAGGAAAGAATGAGGGTTTGAACTAAAATCAAGATCATGACTGATCTCTACCTCAGTTTGCCAGCCTAATCATTCTAATGCAAACAGAGATTAAATTAATGAGATACTTTCCTTTCAAAGTCACACTCCGGTTGCTTGCCTACAGCCTAATTTCACAATTGTTTTGAATAGTGAATTTTTTTCCGAGTATTTCCAAGAATGGTAAGCTTTTAAACCTCTTCATTTTCAGAACCACCCATGTTTTTGTTTTGTTTGGGGGGTGGGGAGGCCCATTTGGAAAAGGCCCAGCTCAGCATCTTGTCCAACCCCTCCCCATTTCTCTTGAGTTTTTGTGGTCCTTCAGCACCTTGGACACATGGAGACAGCCAGGACCACTCTTTGAATAGCACTAACGCTTTTAAACAATCTTCCCGAACCCCCTAGGAAATTTAAACTTTCCTAAATAGTCTCCCAGTTCTTTCTGGATTCCACTTTGGTTGCTGATTCTCTGTCGCTATCTGGGGAAACAGAAGCAAAGAATAAAGGTGGAAGCAATAGAGGAGGGAGGGGAAATGTTAAATCTTTTAGAAATTAAAATAAAAAGGATTCTTAAAAAGCATTCTCCATCTTTGGTGGAAGTGCAAGATGTTAACAAAGGGCATCAAAAGGCGTTTGGATGTATTATTTGGTAGGGGGAGGGGCGGGGCCTCTTCTATAAGCTTTAACTACAGCTTTTCAGATCTTACTCCCAGCTTCATTCTCCAGGCTTTCCCCTGGTGGTCCTCCCATGTCTCCTCTCATTGTCTGCACCTGTGAGGGATGAGGATTGCCCTTCTGCCACTGGCCATCTGGGATGGCAGGGGACATGCTGCTCTGGACCCTCGGAGCCTCCGAGGCTGTGCCTTCCAGGAGACGGCTCCTAATACTCTCCCATCCCTTCCTTACTCTACCTGTCTCTGCTGTCCCCCTAAATCCCTGCTGTCACCCTGAGGCACTTTTTCCCCCAATTCCCAGGGAAGGATGTGACTCAGAGTGAGTAAGAACTCAATAGGGACTCACCTGTCCTTACTTTGTTTAGTAAAAGTCTTCAGATTCCAGGGGTACGACATGGTGGCCACCACAACATATCCAAATTAACACCCGGTAAGCGCATTCAAAGCTTCAGCAGCGAGAGACTTTACCTGGTACACGGCCTGCCTTACAGCCTCAGGGGTAGCACACAGCGGGGAGGTGGAAGGCACAGGAATGAGGAAAGAAGAAAGGAAGTGAGTCCTGAGATGTTATGCCTGCAGTTTCAAGGGTCTTGGTCCTGGTGCGCAGCTTGGGAAGGGTGTTGTTTTGATAATGGGGAAATGATGGTTCTACAAAGATTACCTGACTCCACTTACACAAGAATATGTATTCTCAGCTGATATCACTGTATGTTCATGTCCCCTCCATGGAACTCACCCAACTAGATTTACCACGTTGGCCTTTGGTTTGGGTCAGGGTGTGGATTAGCATAGAGAGAAAGGTACTTAGTACATATGTCTAATGAGTGCTCTAAATTATTTCAACATGTTGAATGGCCCTTTGTAGAGCCCCATGTTCATGTTCAGTGTCACCGCTATTGTTCAATTGCATGTTTTCTCACATATGATCTGACTTCGGTGCCCCTTGAGCCTCCATAGGATCATTTACAACAGTGCCCCTCTGCACCTACTGCAATGAGCGTGAAAGTTATCGATGGGTATAGAGCCCTAAGGGTCAGATTGTATCGGTTCCGTTTTCTGTCTTTGTACTTTTGCCATTTCCAAAAATGGGCTTATAATTTAATCAATAAGAAGAAGAAAGTGGGGAGAGTACTGGTCTCCTGAGTTTTGGGGAATGACATAGCCCCTGGGGTCTACAAACTGAAGAAACTTGAATCTGATCACTACAGCCTCAAATAAAAATTAAGAACCTATGGGTCCGTTGAGGGCGTAGAAGACTTCATATTTGGGGTGACACAGTAGCGAGAGGCCATGAGTGCAGGGAATGCGCTTAGGACTGAGTCTTGCTCTGAGTAACCCACCGCAGAGGCCCCGAGCCATGAGCGGCTTTCAAGTGAAGGCTTTATCCATGTGTAAATAGAGCTCCTATGGAATCACCCCCTGAACTGAAAACCTGACCACCAGCTGGGCTGGGGTGTGAGGCTGGGTGCAGGGTGGTTGGCACAGCTTTGTTCAGATCAGTAAAACAAACTGGAAATGGAGCTGTCACTCACCCTAGTATACTTTTTAAAAAATAGTCTACGTGGCATAATCGAGATGGGTACCTGTATCTTTAAATGACGTAGGGAATTTTGTATGTTTAAATAATTGTACTGGGTTCCATAATGCTTATAGAAGCTGTTTAGTAAAAGAAAATATATAAACCGTGCATTTGTGAATGCCCCCTTAGAGCATTCATCCAAGTTCAGTGTGTCGTGTGACGGTTATTATAGCTGTTTATAGTGAGTGGCTGTGTAACAGGAGAGACTGCTATTTACCTAGGGGCTCAAGGGTAGCTCCTGCCCACTTAATTAAATCAGTGTTGTCCTTTCCTGTCCATTTGATCAATTGCAGTACTGGTAGCTTCCTGCTTGTGACTGTTACCTAATTGTGTCAATGTACATCTGTAGTATGTACATGTGAAAGTGCCTTTCTATTTTAGGAGTTTTAGCCTGGCTCTGTACTGTTGCCCCGGCCTCCTCCCCCTCTTCTCCCCACCACCTCCAATTTCACTGCCTACTTGAGTGTTGAAACTTCCTCCACTCTCTCCCAGCTCCTCCATCCCCACCTTCCTGTGCCTCGAGTGCTCAGTATTGTCCCCTCTTGCAGCCTTGTCATCAGACTCTCGTTTTCCTTGTGACTGTGCCTTCCCCACAGTCACTCTCCCTGCACCCTCCCTTCCCACCCTTCCCTCTCCACACCCCTGCCGCTTGCCACTGACACCCTCCTGTTTGCCTTTGCTCTCTGTGCTGCCTCTTATCATTACATTCCCTTGGCTCTGAGGTGAAAATGAAGGGGGATGCTTTTACAGGTCTGGGAGAAAAAAATACGTTTTGTTGTTGTGACAATGCACTTTTATGTATAGTACTGTACATTTTGGCATGTACCATTCCAGGCTTCCGTATACAGTCAGGTCTGTTCTTCACGGTGTATCTTTATAATAAATAAGATAGTTCTGGCTGCCTTTGTCTGCTCCTGATTTGGTGTGATTCTCCGTGGTGTTTTCATTCCTTTCCTTTTTTTTTTTCCCTAATCACTGTTCACCCCGCCGCCCCCCCCCCCCCCCAGACCCGAGCTGTGTGAAATAATGTGAAAGTACCTTTTTTTTTTTAAGTTATCTCTTTTCATTTTTGTTTGTGAATTTGAAATGAGGCTTCTTCACAGACCCATGACCATGAAGCCAGGTTTTCAGAGTTACAGTTGGAGAGACTCCTGTGTAGATAGGGAAAAGGGATTGGGGGAGTCTTCATGCAGAGGTTGAGAGAGCGCAGTCCTAAGCACTCACCAGCTTGAAGTCTTTTCTTTCAAGCTTTTTTTTTTATGTGCTGATTTTATTTTTTTATTCCTTATTTTCTTTCCTAGCATTTATACCCTCCTCCATCTCCACACTGTTGTCCTTGAGTTCTCTGTCTTTATTTTTTCTTTTTTGCTCAATCCCTCCAGCCCCCTTGAAATCTTTTTTTTAAGGACCCTGGCATAGTAAACCTTGTCAAGCTGATCTTTAGTTTCATTTGAATAAATTGAAATCCAATCCTTAGGTATAGAATATGTTTAGAATCCCCCCATGTATTGATATTGGTACTTTTTTTCTCAAACTAAAAAAAAAAAAAATCAAAAAAGCTAATTCTTGGAGGACTTAGCAATACATCATAAATGGTTTTATTAAACTGTATCAGCAATGTGCTGGATTGAATATTGATAAGAGATGTGGAGTAAAAAATAACATGTAATTAAGGCGAGGGAAAACTTCATTGATGTTAAAATACATACAGAAAAGTACACAAATCATTGGTACAACAGTTTTCACAAAGTAAAACAGTAATATATCCACCACCTGGATCAAGAAATAACACATTATCAGCATCCCAGAAGCTAGGCTTGTGCCTCTCCCAAGTTCATCAATATCCTGATGAATAACAGGTTGGGTTTCCCCTGTCACAGTGGTTCTCAACCTTCCTAATGCCACTACCCTTTAATATAGTTCCTCATGTTGTGGTGACCCCCAATTTCATTGTTAAAAATTGAGCATAATTAAAGCATAGTGATTAATCACAGAAACAATAAGTAATATTATATATGTGTTTTCCAATGGTCTTAGGCAACCCCTGTGAAAGGGTCATTCGACCCCTAAAGGGGTCGCGACCCACAGGTTGATAACCGCTGCCCTGTCATTATAACTTTCTTTTTTTATTGATTGATTTTAAAAAGAGAGAAAGAGAGAGAAATTTATTTGTTGTTTCACTTATTTATGCATACCGTGATTGATTCTTGTATGTGTCCTGACTGGGGATAAAACCAGCAACCTTGGTGTTATTGGAAGGATGCTCTACCCAACTGAGCTAGCTGGCAAGGGCCTCATTATAACCTGTTATAAATAGACTCACAGTATGTTGATATGTGTCAGCTTCTTTTGTTGAAACTTACATCTGAGAATTGTTCATATGATATATAACAATAGGGGTTTTTTTTTCCACTTTCACTGCTATGTAGAATTCTATTACAGTAGCACACTTATTTTAGTACTAGAGGCCCGGTGCACAAAATTTGTGCATGGGGGGGATCGGGCCTAAACCGGCAGTGGGACATCCCTCTCACAATCCTGGACTGCTGGCTCCTAATCGCTCACCTGCCTGCCTGCCTGGTTGCCCCTAACTACCCGCCCCTGCCAGCCTGATCGCCCCTAACTGCCCCCCCTCCCGGCCTGGTCACCCCCCCCTGCTGGCCTGGTTGCCTCTTACTACCCACCCCCCCCCGCCAGCCTGGTTGCCCCCAACTGCCCCCCCTGCTGGCCTGGTTGCCCCTCATGGCCCCCCCCCCACTGGCCTGGTCACCCCACGCAGCCTGCTGTTCTGTCGTTTGGTCATCCTCACTAACCCCACTGCAGGGCTGAGGGGACTGGGCGCTGCCATCTTGTGGCTGTGGGTGCCGCCATCTTTTGAAGGTGTGACAGTCAATTAGCATATTCCCTCCTTATTGGCTGTGGGTGCTGCCATCTTTGAGGGCGTGGCAGTCAATTAGCATGTTCCCTCCTTATTGGCTGTGGGTGCCATCATCTTTGAGGGTGGGGCAGTTGATTAGCATATTCCCTCCTTATTGGCTGTGGGTGCCGCCATCTTTTGCGATGGTGTGAGGGTCAATTAGCATATTCCCTCTTTATTAGATAGGATTCCTGATTAAACTTTGGGTATGGTATGCAAAAATCTTTAAATGTGAACAAGTAAATGAACAAAAAGTAAAGTAAAACCCACCTCTTAAAGGACATGTTTCCCCAAAACATGATGGAATGACTTTGAACTAAGCCATTGACTGGAAGGCCTACCTGAAAGCAGACAGGATCAGGAAGATGGATTTCGAGGCTGCCACACAGGAACAAATGCCCAAATCATACAGGATTGTTCCCAGAAAGACTCCACTGCCCTGCACCTCCCTCACTACCACCCTCAAGTCCAAGAGCCTCCACCCTCCAAGTGCACCTACATCCCTCCTTCCTGAATCAGAGTCCATGGGCGTGTGTCTGCCTGTCAACTCCCACTGTTCTTATGCCAGCCAACCCTGGAAGAATATGAGGAAGGCAGGGAAAAGGAATTTTCTGCCTTCTACCTTGGGTACTTGGGACTCCTGCAGTGGAAAATTCCCCAAGCTTGATCTAAAGTCCCAAAAAGGTCCTGGGAGCCAAAACCCAGCAAATTCCATCCCACAGGCCATATATCCTCATTTGGGTTTTGAAAAATATGGTCAATGTATCTTTGGGAAATAATCATGGTGAGGTTTATCATTCTCCAGTAGCCTTTTTATCTCTTTCTACATAGTAGATAGAAACGTGCCTTCTGCAATAATAAAAATAAACAGCCAGACCCGGCCAGTGTGGCTCAGTGATTGAGCATCGACCTATGAACCAGGAGGTCATGGTTCAATTCCCGGTCAGGGCACATGTCCAGGTTTCGGGCTCGATCCCCAGTGGGGGAGTGTGCAGGAGGCAGCAGATCAATCATTCTCTCTCATCATTGATGTTCCTATCTCTCTCTTCCTCTCCCTCTCTGAAATCAATAAAAATTTATTTAAAAAAAGAAACAGCCAGTTTATCAAGTTTAGTTCTTCACATGAGTTGCTGGAGAGCTGGGACTTGGCTGAATATCAAGGGGTGTGTGTGTGTGTGTGTGTGTGTGTGTGTGTGTGTGTGTGTGCCTCCTGATGTTACCTCTCTTATTCCCTTTAACATGTGGGTTTATGTCTTTTTTTATGCCCTTTATTGTCATTTAGAGAGCTATTGGGAGGCAGCAGAGAGGTAAATGTCTGTCTTCAAATCACCACCTTTAAACTTTAAAGTTCCTCCTTTAGCCTCCTAACAAAACCCTTTCTGGATAAATCAGCCAGAGTTGGTTTCTGTTGCTTGCAAATGAAAGACCTAACTGGTGCACATACTGAGAGAATTTTCTTCCAATACCGGTATCCCCCACTTTCCAAAAGCTTATGTTACACCACTTCACTTTTATGAAAGACCTACATTAGTACCTGTTTTTGCTAACTGAGAGTAACCTGAAGAGGACTTTCACTTTTAACAGAAAAGGTGGAAAGCAAAAATAGCATTTGTTTTGCAGTGAGCTATTATAGAGGTAGTGTGTACCTGGAGGGGCAGTGACAGGGGCCCCGCCAACCTTCCTGCTGGCAGTCCACTCAGCATCTCAGCATTAAACTTTGTATCTGTGCTTTATCTCAATTTACTTTGTGTGGCCTAAAGCAAGATGTGTCCCAAGATATCAGAAAGGCCTTATAGAGCTAAAAAGGGAGTAATCTTGGTGTAAAACTGGATGTAATCAGCCTTTTGATTGTGGTACACAAAATAAAAATGTACGCATTGGGTTTTGTGTCTGGGAACTCTCAAAAAATCTTCCATATGAATTAATGGCAATTGCTTCTTTATGCCATTTTGGCTTACAAAAGGTTTTATGGAAACTCTACTTTCAGATAGCAAGGGAAGCCTATAAAGCTAAAACAGTTGTTCTTGAGGGCAGAGTGCATAGAACCCTAAATGTTAAAAAGGTAAGCTCTAGTCCAGGCCAAGCTATTTCACCAGGAAGAATTCCCCAAATTCTGCAGCCCACAACAGCTGGGAAATGGCACCTTTCTCCTCAGAGGGCTGTGAGCATGCCATTTGCTACCTCCAGAGAAGGTGGCTGAGGAAAGACACAGCCAAAACTTATTCTTGTTTTGTTTGGTTTAATCACTTTAGCATTTAGGAGTAAAACACTGGGAGAAAGTTATTTCATTTTATCTTGGAGGTATTTGCATATTTTTATTTAAAAAAATAAATTAATTAAGGCCCTAGCCAGTTTGACTCAGTGGCTAGAGCGTCGACCTGCGGACCTAAGGGTCCCGGTTTTGAATCCGGTCAAGGGCACATACCTCGGTTGCAGGCTTCTCCCCGGCCCATTCTCTGGTGGGGGGCTCATGCAGGAGGCAACCAGTTGATGTGTTTCTCTCACATCGATATTTCTCTCTATCCCTCTCACTTCTACCCTCTCTAAAAGTCAATGGAAAAATATCCTTGGGTGATAAAGTAAAGTAGTAAGAAAAAAAATAAAGATGACAAAAATGAGGAAAACTTGTTTAGCATGGTGTGAAACAAAATACATGACAACAAATGCTTATTGAATAAATAGAACACCTGGCCAAAATGAATAAGTAAAATGACCATAATAGTTCATAAATCTCTACTTGGAAAAATAAAAGGTTATAATATAGCTTGTTGGGAATGAGAGCATGTTAATAAAGTCCCCAGTGACCTATGTGGGAAAAAAGAGGTTCAAATGTATCTGATTATGTGCCCAAAGAAAATCACCAGTGTGCTCTGGGAATAATTTACATTAAATAAATGATATTTCGAAATAGGAATTCATATGTAGGTCAAATGCAGGCCACGAGTTTTAAAAGTCTACTGGAATTGAAAAATATATTTAGAA